ACCGAAAAAAAAAAAAAAAAAAAAAAAGCTTCAAAATTCAATAATAAGAAAATACACAACCCAATTTAAAAAATAGTCCAAAAAATTTGACTGTTCAATTCACCAAAGAAAATAAAAGAATAGCAAGTAAACAGGTGAAAAGTTGCTCAACATCCTTAGTTGTTAGGAAATAAGATGCAACTATAATCTATAAGGATAGCTTTAAAAAAAAAAAAAAAAAGCCCTCTGCTTCCAGAAGTGCTGCTCGTGACTTCCAGGTAATCCTCATGTACAGGAGCAGTGATGGTGCCCTGGACTTTCTACATGGGTTGTTGTTGTTGTTGTTGTTTTAATATTTATTTATTTGGCTGTGTTGCAGCATGCGGGATCTTTCGTTGCAGCGTGCGGGCTTCTCTCTAGTTGTGGCACTCAGGCTCCAGAGCTCATGGGCTCTCTAGTTGTGGCGCGTGGGCTTAGTTGTCCTGCGGCATGTGGGATCCTGGTTCCCCGACCAGGGATTGAACTCGCATCCCCTGCACTGGAAGGTGGATTCTCTACCACTGGACCACCAGGGAAGTCCCACGTGGGGGTTGTTTTAAACGGCTTTGTGTCCTTGGACCATTTGGTTTGAATCACAGGTTCTAAACCTATGGTGCTTCATGATGGTTTTATTGAGTATAATAGTAATCTTTGACAGTGTACAGAGCAGGAAAGACTTAGACTTGTTATTAGGAAAGCTTCTCCTGTAGTCGTGGTGCTTATCAGAGTTTGGATACCATAGAAATCAGTGACTCAGTTCTGTGTTTCTGGATTTCCTTTTACTGGATCTTTAAATTTTGGACAGATTTTATCTGCTTTAAGCTAATGCTATGAAGAGTGACAAAAATTCTACTAGTTAGACAGTAGTTGCCTCTGTTTTTCATTTTTCTATCTGTCACAGTGGGTAATTATTCTTTGTGGTCATTGCAGGTACTTCATCTTCTCAAGCAACAGTGCTTGCCAACGGTGACCACGGAATAGAAGGGAATGATGCCACTGGTAAGTGATTCCCAGGAGTCCCCAAATGTGTGGGTGAAACAGTCACAGTAAACACCTTGATCAGCTCCTTTGAGGAGGATTGTTAGTGGAAGCATATGGATTATTTCTAAAGGTACTCTTGTTCTTGGTGGTTGTATTTAAACCCAGGGCATCTGCCTCATAACATTTCCAACAATGGAAAGAGAGAATTTCATTTGATATTTCTTGAATATCTTTTGTAGTTGTACCACATAGGAGCTGGATCAGTCTTAACAATATGCTTTTGTTGCAGAATGACCAAAAAAATGTTATAATGGAGTTCTTTGGCTGCTACAGTGCTTTGGGCAGGTCTCATCCCTGAAAGCATACTGTACTCAGTTTGCTTTCCATGGCTCAATGTTAGGAAACTTGTGAGCTGGAAATTAAAAGTTCTTTCCTTTCTGTTGTGCCTTCAGTCTGTTTTCCTTTATTTTTCCCTTAACTGTTACTTTTGAAATCTGTCTCTGATGCCTAGCCCATTACCAGGGCTAGTACTGAGTTCCTGTGGGTTCCCCCAGTGTATATGAAGTGAGCAAAATTCTTGAAGCAGTGGCAGGGTCCATAGGGATGTACAGTACTATGTAAATCTGTGTTTAGGTAGCTGATATGAGAGCCATGTTGAATTTTAAAAAATAACTGAACTTAATTGGCTTAAGTACACAATCAGGCTGGCGCTGTTGACCCAACTGAAAAGACTTTTAACTGGGCATAACGTTTGCTCCACATTACTGCAGGGAGGCAAGTGCTAGCCATGTCTGTGTTCCTCTTGCACGCATACTGTAGGCTTGAGAAGCCTTTCCTTGAGCTACCATAGGATTTCTTGGTTTCTAAGCCTTCCAAAAAGCCTTCTGTTAGCACTAGCAGTTATTCCAGGATTTACTCTTTATTCTGTGACCTTTAGAAATGTTGTATACATCTTTGTATGTTAGGTTTACTGATGACTAGGTTCTATTAGTTGTGAATGTTAGTTTTACCCAGTGACAATAAATCCTTATTAGTAACTCATTAGTTAGGAACTCTTGAAAAGCTAGAAACAACCTGAAGTGCGACCTTATTTATCTTCCAGTTTTGTGAACTGAAAGTTTTTTGTTTTTTTGATAATCTTAGTTTGTGTGTAGTGTTGACTGTTTCTGTGTCTGCTTTGAAAGCAAAGGTCTATATAATTTTGGTTTTAAGAAAATATTTGTAGAAATACCCCCATGATTAAAGGAGAAGAAGCTTGAACACAAACTTTTTAAAAATGAATAAATTCAGCTTTCTTTAATGAGGAGGCAGTGCTAGGGGAAGGAAAGGCTTGAAGGGATTGATTTGGTTAGCCATTTGGAAGAATGAATGCCATTTTCATCCGGGAAGGAAATGACTACCACACTAGAGTAGGTTTCTTCTCCAGCAGGATGTCAGGTCTGACCAGAGGAGACTCAAACTTTATGTAGCAATTGTTTCCCACTGCCACAGCTTAATTGTGCAGGAAAAAAAAACAGGAAGAACATGCAGCCTGGCCCTTACTGTTTGAAGACTTCAGTTCTCTGGCTGCAAAAAAGAGCCCAGCTGTTTATGAACTGCCCAGTGCCATTATGAGAGCAGGTCTTTCTGCTCTTGGACACCTCTCCTCCATTGTGTAGAATATAGTTTGCACACCTGGGGAGATGCTGTGTTCTCAGCCTGACCTCTTGACTATATTAAAGCAGGTGCTTTACTGAAAATACGCATGTTTCATTGGGGGTGGCAAGGAGTAGGGAGGGGGCCAAGAGTGCATGTTTTCAGAGCATGTTGTGACATCATTCTAATTTGGCCATCACTAACTGGAGCATGTAGCTCCGTGCGCTTTTGGAAATTCCTACTTCTGCTTCCTCCAGAGTGTTAATCTGTAGTCCTAAGAGCAGACCCGCTCTGCTGACAGTGTATAAAGGGTTTATGAGCATCTTGCAATGTTGACCTTGCTGTTTACTAATGATCTGTGCTTTTCCACCCTTTCCTTCCCTTTCCTACTTCTTCCTCTCTTTCTATTTTTCTCCTCCTAGAAGCCTAGCGTGTCTCTCAACACTGGGGCTGCTGCAACACCAGACCAGTGATCTTTCCTAAGCACCGTTACACTTGTAAAACCTTCAGCATTTTGCAGAGCTTTGCTTTCCTTCCTGGACACGATATAGAAGAAGCTGAGGGTAGTTCTTCGGGGCCCATTTCTGCCGATGCCTGAGCAAACCACCTGCTTCCTTTTGTGCTCCACAGGGCTTGATGGAACCTCGTTTCCCTTTGTGAGCACAAAGTACCAGATGAATTCTTTTTAATTTTAGTATTTTTATGAAGGTCATCTAATGTCTTTTATTTCTTGTTCTCTTTTAAAACTCATTTTTTAATTTAATTCAGTCTCACATTTTTCTTTTCTTTAAACATTTTTAGTTGGCCTTTTTCATTTGGTTTTCAGATCTTCAACCTGAATCAGGGTAATGTAGCAGCAAATGAGAAAGTGTGCTTTCATAAAGGGATCGAGGCCACCAGCACTGCCGTGAACCTCCCTTCTTCTCTCCCTCCTCCCTCCCTCTGTGAGCTCGCTTTTAGGGTAGATTCATCTTTCAGGCTACCTGTGTTTCTCTCTACCTTACTAACATCTGACTAATGATAGCTATTTTAATTTAAAGTTTTCTAATTTAGAGTAGTTCTGATTAAACTTTGAAAAATATTTCCTGAAATGAAATCATCCTTTGTTATTTGCAAGTTGGGCTGAAATTGTTTCTATTGTGAATTTATGATCTATTTGTCCAGGCTTAGATTCTCCTGAAAATTTGACAGCCTTATTATTGTATGTGGAATTTCATATCCCAAATTTCTTAACATGATCATGAACTATCAAGATAATAATTGGGAAGTTAAGGAAAATGGAATCCTCTATTGTTAGAATACTGGGCTGTTGATACAGATAGAAAATAACTTTTTCTGTAGCAACCTGAGAATGAAGTTAAATTGCAACACGTTGAAGAACTACAACCAATTATTAGGTTTCTAATGAAATGATTTTCTGACTGGACTTCAGCTCTGTTCAGTGTTAGCCTCCCTATGAACTGTGGAGGTGCCTTTGTGTAGCCTGAGGTGGGATTGGTGGGTCACATATAAATAACCTGTGTGTCAAGTCCTTTACCATGAACCTTAGGATTTACTTTCACACATTCTGAGAATTGTCCCAGTAGGACTTTCTTTTTCTCATTCCTCATTTTCCCAAACTAAAAGCTAAAAAAATCTGAAACCATCTGGGACAAATACTGTGGAACTTTTCAAATGATAAGCTTTGATCAGGTTTTTAGAAATAGAATATAAAACATGGGCCATATTTTGAAATTGTAGAGGAGTTCTGGTTTAAGATCTGGAATGTGAGATACTCTTTAAAATTTTCTATCCTCTTACTGACTATGCAGGTTTGTATAATCACTAAGCTGCTGATTATTTCAGATTAAATATTTGGCACCATGTTCTGAGGAAGATTTGAGATGTACATTGTTTTAGATCCCCTGATACCAAACTACTTTGGGGATGGGAAAGTTAGAATATTATGAAAGTTTAAAACAAGACCCTGCAATGACTTCTGGAATTTAGGAAGCGTTCCCTCCTGTGGTCCTGTGGTTTGTTCTTCTGCCAGGAATTCCTTCTGTGGGTTCTGGAGAGAAGACACTAAGGGAGGTACATTTTAGAGGGAAGTGCTTATGCTAACATTCTAAGCAGTTGGTAAATATGAAAACTCTTAGCAAAGGAGAAAAATATGAAAAATACCATAAGAGAGCACACCATCAAATAAAACAGCTCTTTTCATTTGGTATGTAGTTGTTTCATATTTTTTTTGTGCCTTTTTTTTTTTCTAGCCAAGGAACTTTTCACAACTGTTAGTGCTAACTTTAAAAAATCATGCTTGACATCCTTCTATCACTTCTAACTAATCTCTGCAGTTTGTCTAGGTGACAGGTGGGTAGAAAAGCCTGGGTGTGACCCCTGTGGTATAGCTGTGGTCAGAAACATACACTCACACTTCATTATTGACATTGATTTATTCCACTTTAATTTCCATTTTGTCATGTTTATTTCTCTTTGAAATTTGTTTTTTTCCAAATGTTTCTTTTTGAATTTATGGAATTGTTGAAAATTTCTACTCTCAACCAGCTAAAATTTAGTGTATATTGTTAGCTCTGTTTCATTTGGATGTTTCATTTTGAAGGAAATAAATGTAACGTTTCACATATAGCTTCATATGAAGTAGCCAGTCCTGCAATGAAATGCGGTATTGCCATCATGCTCACAACCAGTGGCCCAGGATCTCACTGGTGAGGCAGCCAAGACCGGTCATGGTTGCTCTATTGAAATGTGTTGTTTCTTATATGCAATCTCTCTCTCTCTCTCTCTCTCTCTCTCTCTCTCTCTCTCTTGTTTTTTTCCTTCTTTGGCCCAATGTTGAAGATGTAGAACTTTGTTTTTAAATAATATTTTTATAACTTTATTCACTCACCTAAGTTTGTATTTTTTGTGACTTTAGATTTCAACAGTTTTGTATATTGGGACATTTTAATGTGATCATTGTGCTAAATAAATTACACTAATAAACATGTTACACCAACACCGTATGGACTGGATTTTGGTTGGGGTCTTAATTATTGAAGTATAATGTGGCCAAAACATGAGTTTTGTAAATAAAGGCCCCTGAGACATGAGCTCTTGGTCTAACAAAGCTTCTAATCTGATTCATAGTAATTCCATAATTATATGGGCTTTTTACTTTTTGCCAGGCACCTTCACTTACGTTGTCATTTTTGATTATCAGAGTGAACTCCCTTTTATCCGGAATCTGTAAGAGTTAAGAAGCCCAAATGACTATTTGATATTTTATAGTATCTGATGAGAAAGACAGTTGGCAGAGTAGCAATAAGAAGTTATTCCAAAAGACAGTTTCCATGGCGTATCAATTACTGTTAGATACTTTCTAACACTACACTTTTGTTTAG